ATGAAGACATTCAACATTGGGAAATAGTATACTAAAATAGGTACAAGAAATTCTATTCTGTATGTATAAGTTCAGTACACGTGAAATACGAATTGTTTACAATCGTGTTGACTCCAGTACTGCACTACGCTACCTATGTGGCTATGTATTTGTTCTTTTAGTTCTTAGTTCTTGTTTCTTAGATAATACATAGGTGCCCTGGCACACTGCGTATGATATTACTTTTCTTGAAAGTTGAAAATTGCCTATAATATATTTCGATATCTTTAACTCCAATTACGAAAAAATATCTAGGTAACAATTATAATATTGACTATTGTTTGATAAGCAGAATACCTACACAAAAATAATGAATTGATTAAATAGTAGGTACATTATACATTCATATTATACATTTAACATTATTATATTCAGTAGGTACAGGGGCGGCTCCATTGATATGGTTTGGGGGGGAGGGGTCCAAGTCATAATTTTCATAAAATGTTGATGATTTTTTTTGTAATTTTGTTTTTAACAGTATAAAATTATTTATAAATACAGCTTGGGGGATTATGTATTATAATATGAATATAAGATGTAACCAAAAGTTTATGTTTTGTAAGGACCGTGGTATAGATTTCAGTGTCTGGTTGTGCAGGGGATAAGCGTAATATGCGCGCCCAGCACTTTTTGTGATTCTCACTTTACCACCCGCTGGACGGGAAAAGTTCGCTTTCCAAAGCTTTAAGCGTCATAAAAAACTTAACTTTCGGTGCAGGTGTGACGTGACAAAATAATTATTTTTGTAAAAATTACTGAAATACTTAATAATATTATGATCTATTATCAAAATTCTAATAAATTAATACATAAACTATGATATTATTGTCAACAAAGCATCGTTATAGTTTGTTGAGTGCTTTATAATATAAAGTTTATATAATATTAAGTTAAACATAATGTGAAATATTATGCGGAATCACATAATATTATAGTACTAACAAAGCAAGAATCAAAACCACCTTTAGCCTTGAGGGCTTGGAGGATGAGTGGATGACATGTTTTCAACATTATTAAATTCAATCACTCATAAAAAATGTTCCTATGTACCTTCACGTTAAACATTTTTATTATTAATAATAATAGTATAATCATTATTCATTATACATAATATATGTAACTAGAATTTATTGTTTAAAACGTTTAGAAACCGGAATTTATCACGCTCGGCGCTCGTACTGATGGTTTTCCTAATTTGTTTATAGGTATTAAATTTACAATATTTAAATAAATCTGTTATACTATATAGTGTAGCTACTAGCTGTAGTCTGGCTTTTATAGCTATAACTATACAATATAATAGCTCTAGCTGTGCAAACGTGTTCTTGCGACAATGTCACCCTCGATTGTGGACTATGGTGTTCGGACATGCTAGAGTAGTTTAAAAACATGAAAACTTTTTTTTTTAATTTTCAATTTTTATAGGTATGACCAAGCGATCTATGGTAATTATAATCAATGATATGACTTAAAAATTTAATACAACAGATTCCCGTAAGCAGTATATCTTATAATGTAACCCAAAAATCTTAAACATAATATATTTTATAGACATTTGTAATTCAAATTTGGACAAAATATAATTTAAAACAAGGAATAGGTACCTAACGATTTTAGTTATTTTATTTTCATTTAAATATTATTCGTGGGTACTTGAAACTTACCTATAGTATTAAAATGTATCAAGGCCGTATCCAGAATTTTTTTCCGGAGTAGTCCATAACATATATATTGTAATTTTATTGAATTTAGGTTTTGATATTTGGACCAGGCACGGTACTAGAATTTTATTCCAGTGTGGCAGAGTGGGGCAAATATTTTTTTTACATGGACTAAGGTTTTTTTCAACAAATACTGAGGTTATTTAAATAAAATATAAATATTTTCGTATCATATAACATAATATAGCTATTAACTATATAGTACACAAGTTTTTATATTGTATGCTCTAAAAGTCTTATCAGATAATATGTACAAACTTTTGAATAGTTAAAAATGTTTAAGAATAATGTATTATGACTAAATTATATTATCATACATTTTTTTCAGTGGGGTGGCTAGTGAGGGGGCTAGGGAGGGGGCTGAACTGCTAGACCCAATTCTTGCTCCCCCTTTGGCACTGTGCCTGGACCCCCCACAGATACGGCCTTGAAATGAATAGGTACATACACAATGACATTTAAAAAATATTTAGATTAATTTTAAGGTATTTATTTATTTATTTTTATATATATTTATACCACTATACCACAATCCATAAACCTATTCCCACCTTTCCATAGCATGTACAGGCATATTGATTCATTTTGGTACCCGCATATTATGTTGTATTGTTGTCTCCATCTTACTAACGCATAATATACCAAAATGTACGTCTAGCAGCATTTTCAATTTTGTATTGTTGGCTTAAATATTAGACTAAATTGTATTATTATCATACATAAATGTACGTAAATTCATAGGCGCACATAGGGTGTTAATTTAGGGGGTGCTGGGATAATTTATGGTTCACAGATCCGTGGGGGGAAAAGCCCCCCACACCCCCCTAATCCTAATATTTCTGCATTGCATTAAATTTCATTTGTACAGTATATACAATAATTTCTAAAGTGCAATGTATCAA